TAGGAACTCTCATCCACTGCTGGTGAACCTGTAGGTATGTCCAGCCACTATGGAAATTGATTTGGTAATATCCCCACAATGGAAATCGACTTGGTGATATCTAAAAGAGATGGAAATTGAGTTACCATATGACCCAGCAATCCCCTACTGGGCATGTACCCAGAAAAGGCAAGAAACAAACTATGGCCAGACATCTGTGCTCCAGTGTTCATTGCAGCCCAGTTGACAATCGCAAGGAGTTTGAAACAACCCAAATTTCCATCAATGGACACATGGATTAAAAAATCTGGTACATACATACAATGGAGTACTATGCATCGCTAAAAAGCAGTGATAACTCATGAAGTACATCCAGGGAAGAACTGGAGGAAAGTAAGCCAAACAAAAGGGCAAGTACAACATGAGTACGCTGAGGTGAGCTTAAAAATGCAAAAGGGGCATATGGAAAAAGCTACTGTATACAAACATTACTGGGATGAGGTCTAGGTAGTATGGCAGGAGCCAGACCAAATCCATGGGCAGCGGAGAATAGGGCACTAAACCACCCAAGGGTCAGTATTGTTTTTGTTTTTATATCCACGGGTAAATAAGGATAAGACTTCAACCCGGTGCTCCAAGATGTGAATACAACATACTGGCATGAAGCAGGGAGTCAATAGAGTGGTCTGAGGGGCTGGCCCCAATCCCAACTATGTGGACAGCCCCCCTCCCCTCAGAATAATTCACTCAGAGGACAGCACTGAAGCTATAGCTCAGGAAGAGGAACATGTCTGAGCAGAGCACACAGGAGCAAATGAAGGGAGAGGAACAAGAGTGGAACACGTCTTGGCCCACTAAGCCCCAAGGACGATATTCCTGCTAAGAGCAGCCAAAGCAGAGAGGACCATAGAACTGGCCCCACTACGAGACACGGTTGTCCCTCACTGACCCATAGAGCTATGGGAGACACAGTTTGGGAACTGTGCCCAATCTGACCCCATCACACTGAGGTGAAACACTTAAGGG